AGCTTTTAACTCTTCACACTGCCATCCAACTATAGTGACTTCTGGGGAACCATAAAACTGACATGGCAGCATCTTGGGTGACGTCACTGGGTTTAGGTTCATCATCTGTATACAGTCTATGTGTGAAAAGCATGATCATTTCTATTGTGTGTTTCTGAACAATGAGAACATCTCGGAGCAGATTTCGTGCCCCCGGAGGTTAGATCAGCAGACTCAATCCTTCATGGATCAATTCACATATTTTAGACTAATTCTGGATTCTGTCATCTGTCATGCATCAGCTGAAACTTCATCAAACCCCTGCCCCCGACCTTCCACGTCTTCACCATCTTTGCTGCCTGCTGAAACTCTTCTGATTTCAACAACGATCTATCTGAGCTGTATTTTCCACCTGCACACTCACGCTAAACTTACTTTTTTTCCAGGTATTATCCCTCTGGAGCACTTATTCCTGAAAATTTCCAAAACACACACACTTACACATCAAGGTCTGGAGGCCCACCGAAGGCAAAAACAACTCCCAGTCTCCCTGCAGACCTCCCCCCTCGCTCTCTCTCCTATCCCTCCTCCTCTTCCCTCCTCCTCTCTCAGTCCCCTCGCTGTCACAGTTTTTCCACTTTCCTTGGCTCCACTTTACGACCCTCCCTCGTTTGGAAGAAACTGCTCTCGTTATTTTTTCTCTCTCTCACTTGTGAATGTTTATCCGGCTTGAAGATTTTTCTAAGTGTATGGGCTCTAAAGCAAACGCCGTTTTTCTTCACAGTTTCGTCCTCGGAAGTCGCTTTTTAGGTGAAATATTTCAGCTGCAGAGAGTCTGCGTGTTCCTGGATGCCAAGGTGAGTAACAAGCTGTTACTAACAAACAAACAAACACACACTAAACTAAACAAATATAATTTATTGCTTATTGACCTGTCAATGAATCCACCTTTGTTTAATTGCTCACTCGTACACGTAGCGTGGCACGTGCTGTTATTGCACCACAGACGGTGAAAACGTCAGTTGATCTCATGAAATAAAAAAAAGTATAAATTAAATAAATCATTCAGTTAACTGCCGATTATAGATCACTGTAATTTAAGAATATGCAGTATAATATTCGTGGAGTTTTACTTTTGGTACTTCTACTTTTACTGGTCGTGTTTTCATTTATTCATGTTTCTGAACGCGTCTTTACATTTCTTTGAATACTTCGGCTGCTTTCATCAGATAATGCGCATCAATATTCAATAAAATCTCCCGTAAATCTTTCATACTGCTACATTACAACATAATACACATTTGAACATTATTAGTGAACTTGTCCTCTAAATAAGATTTCACGTTTCTATGTCCTGAATGTATTTTCTATGTTCGATCATAATCACCAACAGTAAAGTCGTCTGTT